CCCCCCAAACCCCCTATGGCTTAGTGGTTAAGAAGTGTTGACTATCTCACTACTGTGGGTACAAATCCCACTAGTGACAAGATTTCTTCTTGCGAGGAAGCTTATAATCCAGCTGGTTTAATTCAGAGGGTTGGTTAGGTCGTCTTATATACATGAAATAATGCATGAAAGGGCATATCAGAACTTGCGCCTACCTTTCACACACTGGTAAAATTACCAAATGTCTTCATAATTCATAAACAGGTGCCAGTGAACATTATAGCCTGTACACCAGTTACATGTCCATATTGAGTAGAAGACCTCTATTGATTTTTAGGTCACAAGGTCATGGTCACTGAAAACACTTAAAACTGAAAACAGTTTCCGCTCAGTAATTTAAGTACAGTAAACTCCGCTTATAACGATATTCAGGGGACATACAAAACTTTATCGATATATCCGAATATCGTTACAACCGAATTTCTGTACGGTGTGTAGCTTACTGACGATGCACTGCATCGTTCAACATGTATAAGCAGTAGCATTATATACTAGACATGTGACAATCGTGTACTTACGACAAAACTTTATTCTTTTTATGCATATCAATGTTGAATGCATAAAAAATCAGTTGCAACATCAAATAAAACACAAAACTGACATAAACCGAAAGTAATATGTACACAGGTACTGGTAACCTTACATTGGCTTAAATTTATACACTGGAAAAAAAAAACGTCAAAATTAAATTGCTTTTTTAACTATTTACACTCATGGGTAAATCTTGTTGAAGTTTTGTTCATGTACAAAGACATTCACTGTCGGAAAAAATCAGTTAATTTTGTCTGCTTTTTGGCTTTCCCTATTTCAACTGAAAATTCTCAAGTTCATGTAAACATCCGAAAACAGAATCACACGAATCAGACTTAGAAAGAACAAAGCGTCTGCAAGTGTCTATAGCATTAAGAAACTCATTCATGGTGGGTGGGGGCTCATCAACAGTCTCAGAGTCACTCTCTTCGTCACTCTGCGACAGGGTTTTAGCGGGTTTCAATTTTTGCTGTACCTCCGCTATTATATCGCTATCGGACTTCTGCTCAACGGAGACAACATTCTCATCGGCATTTATGTAATCATCAAAAGAAATGTTTTTGTCTATGTCACTGAATACTCTAAGGCGATGCCAATTCAGCCAGCGGAGTGTCATCGTCCTCGAACTCGTCTGTGTCAGACGAATCGGAAACATGCCCCTGCGGGGTCGCATTAATTTCATGCTGTGCTTGATTCATAAATCCAGCCTTTCTAAAACAATTCTGGATACACGTCGGTGTTACATCTTTCCATGCCGCATAAAACCATTGTATGGCTTTTAGAATGTTAATCTGTTTATCGATATGTTTGTCTAGACATGAAAATAATATGGTCAAGGACACGTGACCTGTAATGCCTTTTGAATGAAAAGATAATCCTTGATCACAGGGCTGTAACTTAGATGTAGTGTTAGGTGGAAAAAACAACAGTTTTACAGCTTTTAATCCCTCGATTTTCGGATGGGCCGGCAATTATCAACAAACAATAGAATAGATCTTTTCTCACGTGTCATACGTTTTGTCAAGTTTTTTCACCCAACTGATAAATATTTCTGAGTTCATCCAAGCACGACGATTAGCTTCGTAATCTACCGGCAAACTTTTAACATTTTTAAAACATCTAGGATTTTTGAATTTCCCGATTATCAAAAAGTTTAAGTTTATCAGAACCGTCCATATTTGCGCCGATAAGCACTGTGATTCTGTCCTTGCTTTGGTTGCCTCCAAAACATTTTGTTCCTTTACCTCTAGTGTTTTATTTGGGTCATTTTATAAAAAACGCCAGTTTCATCGATATTGTAGACATTTTTTGGTTCATAGTCCTTGATCAAACTTGGAAGTTTTGACTGCATCCAATTTTCAGTTTGTGAATTATCGACGGAAGCACCTTCACCGGATAATGTTTTGCTCGATATGCCATGACGATTTTTGAATCTTTCAATAAATCCGTTTGTTGCCTGAAAATTTTCCATGCCCAGCTCACATGCCAGAGAATTAGCCTTTCGTGTAAGCAATAGGTCCATCAATAGGCACATTTTGGGATCGTACAGTCTTAAACCACTCAAACAGCGCCATTTCAATGTCTCTATTGCATGACGCATTCGTTTACGGGCTGGGCTGAACGACGTAGTCTCGTATGCATTGATGACAGAATTTTTTTTTTCCAGATTGAACTTAATGTGTTTTGTTTTAATTCCAAAAATCGTTTGCAATGTCCTGTTTTTTACGTTTACCAAGATTAATCTCTTGAATTAATTTATATTTAGTTTTCAATATCCAAATTTTTTTCTTTTTCGTTTTTCTGACATGTTCACTGTTTTAGCTACTTGTACATGTATAACTTATTTACAACGAAAATTGTTATTGAAAGGAAACAATAAAAGGACAAACCATGCTTTTATTTTTTGAGATGAATTCACCTGTATGAGAACAAAACGGTAGTTACGTACGCACAGAACATGTTCCGCGTCATTGTATTTAATCGAGCAGATATTTATGCATTAAAACAAGCGGACCGAGACCGCTCTTCCACAACAAACTTGTGCAGCAAATTATCGTTTTAAGAGGTAATATATGTGCGTTGGGGTTGAAAATCCACATCGATATATCCGAAATATCGATACATGCGATATCGATATATGCGAGGATGCTTCCGTTAGGTTATTATGGAAGTTGGCAGGGACCAAGACAAACGTATCGATATAACCGATATATCATTACAAGCGATATCGATACAGTTGGAGTTTACTGTATTGGTACTTTGTCATGATCTTCTATATAGAAAGTTAAATGATCTCAATATTACGGTGAAACAGATATTTAAATCTTCTCGGAAAATAAACATTGAACTCTGAATTCTCGACTGCAATATTTGTATTAACTTGTTCTATTTTCTGGGAGAAAGGTTTCTACAGGATAAGGTTACTGGAGTAAAATGTATCTTGTTTATTGTGAAAGTGAGATACTGTTTCAGTAATGAGTATCATGTTATCTCATTGTTAAGTCTGAGATATTATTTTTTCTCTGAGATTCATAAAAATAATTGGTGTCATAAAGTTAATATCCCTTGAAATGATATGAAAATTTTTATTTTTTTTATCTATTGTTTTAAAAAGTTGAATGATTTTAATGGAGACATGGAAAATAATTTATGATGTGTAATATACAAATATGAAAATGTGTCCCACATATTAAAACATGTCTTGAAATATGAAATTTGTGATAGTTTTAATTGTAATATGTTAAATAAAAAAAGATTACTGAGTTTATGTTAATATGTTATATATGGTAAAAAGAAGGCAGGGGTAGACAAGAATTTTTTTTTATTATTTCATCTTCATACTTGGCCACAACAACCCTTGGGACAAGACCTTCAAGTACACCAGACTAACCTTGACTTTCATTCATAAATGACCTTGACCTTTAAGGTCAAATGTCTGAATTTTGCTTGATTTTTACAGCTAAGTAGCTTATTATTAATGATAATTAATAATTAAAGGTGGTAAAATAGAATTAATATGAATAGGGCCTAAAGGGGGTATTAACTAAAAAAAGACTTGAACATAGCAAACTGCAGTCATAGTCACAGTCTTAATGTTAGTGATATGATACTGTATCGTGATACAACCAAGATATGAGCCGTGTCATGACAAAACCAACATAATGGGTTTGCGACCAGCATGGATCCAGACCAGCCTGCGCATCCGTGCAGTCTGATCAGGATCCATGCTGTTCGCTTACAAACCCTATTACAAGTAGAGAAGCTGATAGCGAACAGCATGGATCCTGGTCAGACTGCGCGAATGCGCAGGCTGGTCTGGATCCATGCTGGTCGCAAACCCATTACGTTGGTTTTGTCGTGACGCGGCTCAATTATTATTACAATATCATGATACATTTTCAGCATCAATATACCCAACTCTATAAGTCATGCTGTCTTACCAGATAACAGAATCTATCCTGTTGTTCTCATTGCTTTAGTTACTAAGTTTGATATATTGATCTTTGAATTTTTACAATCAATAAAGGTTTTGTCCATATATCATGGCAGACAAGTCCATTTTATAATAAAAGTGTTGTCAGACTTATCAATGAATGATATAGGTCTTTTTTAGAGGTATTAATTATACCCCCAAAACGAAGTTTGGGGGTGGGGGGTATATAGGAGTCACTCGGTGGTCGGTCTGTCCGTCCACCCGTCTGTTGCATTTTCCTTTTCCGGAGCATAACTTGAAGACTAATGGTTGGAATTCAATACAACTCAATACAATGGTCAAGCACAATAAGGGGAAGTGCAGTGCTCAAGAACCATTACTCTATCTAAAGTAATTACAGAGTTATTTCCCTTTGTTACTAGTAACTTCTTTTCTGTTACTAGTAACTTCCTCATTTCCGAAGCAGTCTTGTGGGGTATTAATCACATTTAGTTACAGTTCTAGTTTAATATTATTTAAGGAACATACTTATTAGGACCATAACTAACTAACAGAATTAATAGAAAATTATAGATACGTGCATGAGCCTGAGTTGCAGTCAGAATGACTTATTTTAGTTGCATCAATTGTCAATAAATTTAGATGGTATATCTACTTTAGCGACTAGTAACTAATTTAAATGCATAGTTATGACCCATGATAAAAAGATTTTTTTTGAACTTAATGAAGAAACCTGAATTATACAGGTATGTGATTATAACAAGTAGTAAACATTTATTCATAAGTGCTGAGGTAATGCATGAAAAGAAGTTGTTCATACTTTAGATTATATTCAGGCATGTGAAAGATCTTAGAGCGAGAGAATCAGGTAAGTTGAGTTAGTCCCTGACAGGAGTTATACATAAATAGCTAGCCCTATTGACAGTTAATGGTACAATATTTTCCTGGTGTTTTTCTTCAGGTGATGACAACGAAATTCCCGCACATGTGATAAATGATTGGGCCGTCAGTCGGACATTCCAGATACTGTACCGTAGTGAAGATATTGCCATTAATGATGTGATATTATACAGGTTCCATACACTGGTTAACAGTGCTCATGTAAGTAATAATTAATAGAGAATGTATTTTGAGGCTTCGACACCTTCCCGAGGCAGTAAAATTGACTGACGTTGGAAATTCAGAAATGGTCCCATTCTGCACAATCAATCAGATTGTATAATCTACTAAATGTCCGGCACTTTAAGTTTGGAAATATCTACTATTCTTGAATAAAAACAATACCTCCACTTTGACCTTGAACTGCAGAGACCGAGGGATGTCCGTGGTTTAGTCCTTGACTTCAAAGCACCAGTGTCTCTCACCGCTGTAGGTTCAAGCTATGCAAGTGCTGTCCAATTCTACATGTAAGACTATACAGCTAGCTTAAGGAATTTCAGTGGTTCTACTCAGGTGGGTGTTTATGCATGAAATAATGGACAGTGGGGCACCTGAGGTCTTCCTCCACCAGTAAAGCTAGAAAGTCGCCATATGACATATACTATGTTGGTGCAACGTAAAACCCAACCAAAACAAAAAAGCTTGCTACTCAGGTGCCCACTTGTCCTTGTAGTCATGTACAGTAGAGCAAATTTACATGTTCGGCTTGCCTGTTTAAAAGCTCAAAAATTATCGGAGAAATTGACTTTAAATGCAGATATTTAGTCTTCCCCTTCCCCACACCCCTGCAGAAATGTTCTCTTCCCCCACCCCCTCCAAGTGTAATGTAATACTCCTGTTTTAATACAAAACCTGAGTTTCTAGTTTCTCTCAGATCTATACATGTTTTATTCTTGCGTTTAAGGAGGTGATAAAATTGAACGTCTATTAATTTAACCCATGCAAAAGTAATATTGCTTTTAATTACTTCAAACTATTGAACACTGTAAAATTTCAACTGTTTTGTTTCCTATAAAACGAAGTGTCACCTTGTGAAATGTTGATTTATTGATGTAAAAGAGAATAAAGGATTGGGATTTTGTGCGCAGAATGCACGCATTTCAGATATGATAGGAAGCCAGTATTGCAGGAATGAATATTGATATTGAACTCATAAACATATGGTCGTAAATTCTTAATTAATGTTTAATCTATATTTCATTACTCAATTGCTATTGAATGCAATATTGTAAGGATTTTCTTGGTTTTTAGCTCGACAATTCGCAGAATATTCGAGCTAATGCAGTCATTTATTTGTTGGCATCGGCATCCCTGTGGTTAAATTTTTAACGTGTAAAGTGGTATCTCCATAACTACTAAAGTGAATGGATTAAAGCTCCACACACTTGTTCTCTTTATTTATGTTACATGATTGGCACAAGTCCCATAACTCTGATTTGCTTTTTTGCATAATTATGCCCCTTTTTCAGCTTTTTGCATGTAAGCTGGTATCTTCATAACTACTGAAGGGTTTGTGCCTTTTTTTTGTGACATTATTTTATGCATTCATAATAATCAAGCAGTGATTTAGTCGATAAAACATCTTAATAACAAGCCTTTGTACCTTTTTGGGACAATTTTATGTATTCAAATAGGTAAGCATTATTATACACTATGACACACCCTTGTGATAACTTTTTCAAATTGACAAGCATCTCTGTCCTCCAACAGCTCTTGTTCGATAATGCACTAATTTTGTGATATGTTTAATGTGTTTCATACATTGATCAAGCACAAATTCAAAATTCAGTTTGTTTGAAATTTATTACATTCTTTTCATTGAGTACTGTATTTGTTATAAACCATGTTTTAGTGCTTTAAAGGCCCAAAATCCCTCAGATATTTTTATTTCTCAAAAGCTTTTTTATTTTTGGTATACTTTTATAGTTTCCAAAATGTTACTCACTACACCATTTTTTTCATCTGCTGCTTTTTGGCAGCTTGTACAGTTTCAGTGATTTAGTATTTTGTATGGAAGTTAAAAGACAAGTTTGTTTACATTTTGCTACTTTAATGACACATTATTTTACATTTATCGCTACTCTCTTCAGGTTACAAGCAATTAACTTGCTCTAAAATCATTATTTAAGCATTAAAAAATTCATGTTTCCCCATTTTAAAGAAGTAAAAACCTATTTGTTTTTGGGGCATAATGTGCCTTTAATTTTAACACACATGTTTAACTCTTTATAACCTTGTTAGATATCTTAAAAATAAATTTGCTCATCTTTCAATCTAGAAGAAAACCATTCATCATTTTAAAGAAAATTACAAAATATGTGCTGACTGTTTAGGGAACAGTGCAGACCATGATCAGACAGCACAAGGCATAGATGTGACAGAAGTCAGTTAAAACATATTAAAAGAATTATTATTAATAAATATAAAGTTGGTTTTACATTTAAGTTCAAATTATATTTCACGCTGAATACTAACTGCTATATTTTCATGTATGGCCACACCATTTGTGAAAATATAGCATCTGGTACTCATTCAGTAAAATATATTTTAGTATTTGGCCGAGTGGTTAAGGTCGTTGACTTCAAACCACTTGCCCCTCACCGCTGTGGGTTGGAATCCTGATAAGGACTTTGAATTCTTTCATGTGATGAAGCTATCCAGCTAGCTTATGGAACATCTGTGGTTCTACTCTGAGGTACCCATTCGTGCCTGAAATAATGCACAGAAGGGCACCTGAGGTCTTCCTCCACCAGTAAAGCTGGAACATTGCCATATGACCTATACTGTGTTGGTGTGACGTAAAACCCAATAAAACAAAACAAACAAAAACTGCAACAAAACAAACAAACTTACAGTAATGTATTTTAATTATTACAGTTAGAAGATGAAATATCCAAGTTAGAGATACAGCTGATGGTGGAATTGTGGTTCTCAGAGGAACAAAATGGGTAGGTCTATAATTTTACCATTCTGTATTGTCTATACAGCACTGTAATTTGAGACACATGTATGCATGGTAATTTTGCTGGGCTTTGGATTACTCATTTGTGGCTTATTTACACTTAATAATCTCAAAACAAAACTTTGCTGTGAGTTTGAGGTTGTTGACCTCAAATCACTTGCTCCTCACCACTGTGAGTACAAATCCCACTAGGGACTTTGGATTCCTTCATGTTGGGAAAGTACCCAGCCAGGTTACAGGATGTCTGTGGTTCCACTCAGCTGCCTGTGGCTGAAATAATGCACTTAGGAGCACCAGAGGTCTTCCTCCACCAATGAAGCTGGAAAATTGCCATATGACTTATTCTTGTTGCTGCAACCTAAAATGCAATAACAACCTTAGAAACCTTTTGTCAAGGGGCTGTTGTAATGGTGGTTCTCAATGATTTCAAAGAATTTTATAAAAATGTGTTTTTTTTACCTTTGTTAATCAATTTCAGGATCATATTTAATAATTTTGTTTCATGCAAATGGTCTCCTCTTGTATTTTTGATTACATTTGTACCAAATAGATTTGGCAAGTTGTATATGTTAGTTTTATTTATTTTAGGACAGGAGCGGTGCTTGCAAAGGCTGAATGTGCCAGTCAGAGGCAGTTAAACCTTCATATCAACCCAACTAAAGGTTTACACCATCATGTACCACTACTGTTTGATTACTTCCATTTATGTTGTGTAGAACTGACTGTACATGGTACACTTATTGCCATACATCAACCATTTCTTAGGTTTGTATCTTCTTAGTTACGTAGGGAGCCCCTCCTATCACAACTGTCCCAATGCTTGTACATTGCCACAAGGGACGTCCGTGGCCGAGTGGTTAAGGTTGGTGACTTCAAGCCACTTGCCCTCATCGCTTTGGGTTCAAATCCCGACAGGGACATCGGATTCCATCATTTGAGGAAGCTATCCAGCTAGCCTAGGGAATGTTGGTGGTTCTACTCAGGTGCCCATTCATGCCTGAAATAATGCACGGAAGGGCATCTGAGGTCTTCCTCCACCAGTAAAGCTGTAACGTCGCCATATGACCTATTCTGTGCCGGTTTGACGTAAAACCCAATTAAACAAACAAACAAAAAACATCGCCAAGTAACTGTAAAGGTAGTAAGATGTGTGACTGATCTAATGGTATATTATGAGTGAACAGATGAAAGTCAGAATAAGTTGACATTTGCCATAATTCCTTTCAATTTTATAATTTACATGGCATGAACTAACTCACTTGGCCCAAGGAAATTTCTATACATATCCACCACACTTTACCTGTAACATTCAATTGATAAAAAGAGTAGGGCAGTCTTTTATATCTAAGGCAAATTTATATTTTTACCCTTTTTATTGTAAACATTTTCCAATATCAACTGTTGGTCAATCACCATTATCACATTCATTCTTTTAAAATATATATTTAATTTAGCTCAACTTGACAATGAGAAAAAGAGCATAATGTCACTATTCAGACTGTTGATAATTTTATCTAGTACAAGTAGAGTTATGGCCCTTGTACTAGTCAAAGTTACATATTAGACATTAACCTATTGTTAGGTGAACCAAATTTCCATAAAGTTTCAATGTCCTGACAGTCATTTAAAAATAAAAAGCAAGTCAAATGATCAATGACTGAATTTTTCATAAATTTCAATGATGGTCTATGAATTGATTAAAATTTAAAATAATCATGTAAAACAATGAAAAATCTATGATATTTTAGTTATAATTTCATGTGTTTCATGTGCAAAATAAAATAGTTTCTGTTTACATGTATCACTATTTTTGTATTTTTCAGTGTACCTAAGCAGCCAAAAACAGCTTGGTCAAGCAGAAATCCAGAGTTATCTACCATAGAGACTGTGTATTTTGGTGACAGACAAATCTCTAGTGTAAGTCTTGAATAAATGAATATATGAGCCACGCCATGACAAAACCAGCATAATGCGTTTGCGACCAGCATGGATCCAGACCAGCCTGCGCCAGTCATGACGCCGCTGATGCTGTTCGCTTACAAATCCTATAACAAGTAGAGAAACTGATAGAGAACAGCATGGATCCTGATCAGACTGCACGGATGCGCAGGCTGGTCTGGATCCATGCTGGTCGCAAATGCACTATGTTGGTTTTGTCATGACGCGGCTCAATTATATATGTCAATGGTTAAAATGCCAGTGATGAGCTTGTCATTAAATGTCACCAGGATATAGATTTTGACCAGATTTAATGATGTTTGATGTTTTGGTTAATTCTGCATACCTCCAGATGAGCCAGATTATTTCAGTAAAAACAAACCTGATAAAAATGTACTCAGATTTTAGGAAAAGTAAAAAAATGATTAAAGATTTAAGTAATAATTATAATGTTATGTGAAATTAATGATTGATTTTTCAGTATTTATAACCATATTTCTACTGTGTTACTGACACAGTAAAGGCTATTTGCGAATATTTTTACCTCATTTTGGTAATTTACTTGAGTTATGTGTAAATTACTTCCCTTTGGTTTCATCAGAATATTTTACCTAAATACATTTTCAAAATTTTCATGAAAATAAGAATAAGTCTGGAGGCTTGCTGTTTTAAGAGCATCTAAATTGTTTTATTGGCACGAGAAATTCAAAGCATAACAAATCAAGTTATGTTATAAAAAAAAAAAAACAACGAAAAAAAAAAAGAAGATTGAAAGGGTTTGATGATCCCCCATAGGTACAAGTACTGTGGTACTTAATTTTCTATCAAATTATAAAAAGAAAAAAAAAGAAAACGCAAAACAATTTGTTTCTTATTTTACACTACACATGGGTACCAAAGTTTAAGTCTATTATTTATGGGAATAATATGTTGGTCAATTTTCATGTTTCAAATCCTCTATCTTTCTGTTATTCTTAAGAATATACTTAAATGGCATTGGAATGTGTATAGTGAACACGCCACATTTCATATTTTCAATGGATTCTTTGTTTATGTTAATCATACATGTAATGTATATAGGATGTAACAGTGTTCAAAGTGGTGTGGTAACAGTCCTATGTACACACTCGGTAAACAATAATTTTAAACAGAATTTTTTGTGTATACACGAACATGCGTCAGACTTGTATTCATAAGGAGATGTAACAGTTTAGCACCAATTAATGAAGGAATATATAAATAATTTATTTCAGGACCCAGAGAAATGTTTGCCCATCAATTTACATGCAGCTTGGCAGATGCACCATAGAATATGTAACTTACTGTTGTCAGCATATGAAAGTCTCCAAAGTACCTTTGAGTATTACCTCAGTGATATTTGCGGATCTCACTCCAAACTTGGTATGTCCTTTATATACTAGAACTCCCAGCTATTTTATTGACAAAATTCAGGTAGGATAAACCAGTGGTGGGGCAATATCGTGGCCGTATTGCCGGGTTTGCCCCACAGCTACTGTAGGGAAAAGTAAAAAATTTTTAAAAGAATTTACGTTTATAATATCATACAGTAATTTAAAAATCTTTTTTTTGATAAAAAGGGACAAAGTAAAAAATAAAATTTTCAGGCTGGCAGCAAATTTTTGTTTTTTTTTAATGATATTTTATCAGCACTTTAGGTATGGAAATATATGGAAGTTATTCATAAAAGTGTTCCATCATATTATGTTGAATCATGCAAAATACAGCTTTTTCAAGATTAAAATATTTTGTTGTATTTTGGCAGTACAGGATAGTCCAGTTTGCTAAATCAATGGCAATTTGAATAAACTTACACCTTTTGGTAAAAATACCTTCACCTCATGTTAACACAGTTCAAGAAGAGACCGGGTAAAAACAATTCAAACTTCATTGCAACTAAGTTACTTGAAACATTGCAAAACAGCTGTGTAAAACCTCAGTCACACTAGAGCTTACGATTACTTGCGACCACCGACGACTTGTAAAACTGACGATCATAAGCAACTGTCTGCAACCAAAACCATTTTTGCATAGATAAATTTACTTCTGCGCCTATCGTAAGACAAGTCATCATTGACAATCGCACGACAGGTCATAAGCAAACATACAATGGTCTCAAGATTGTGTGGGATTACTTACGACTACCTGTGACCTGTCATGCGATCACCTACGACTTGTCCTACGACCATCGCACGATAACTCGAGGTTACTCAAGATTATCAGTGACTAGTGGCAATTTGTAAAGACTGTCGTAAGATTGTCGCACTTCCGAACGACCATCGTGCGACAGCCTAAGACCTTATAAGATCACTAGCGACCTGTTTGATCGCAAGGAGGTTGTTGTGCAAGCTCAAAAACCTCTCTACGACTGAAATTGGTCGTGGGACCTAAATAAGATAACCTGCGACTGTCAAAGATCACCGATGACCGTCATAAGACGTTTTAAAGATTGTCTGCGACCAGAGGTTACTGGTGATCGTGAACTGGTCTTCACTGGTCGTAAGCTCTAATGTGACTGGGGCTTAAAACAACTATACAGGGACATTTGACCCCTGACATGAAGTCTTATGGTCATTTGTCTCTCACCACTGATTCAGAAATTATGTGGGATCAGTAGTCTGTCACTTGCATTAAAACTGGTTAAGCTGGTGGACCGACTGCCGAGATATGGCCAAAAACGTGTTGAAATTGGATAAAAAAGCGTACAGGAAACAAACAAACAAATACAACTGAAATAATCTTATTAATGTTTGTTGAGAGAGACTGCTATTTGTTTTTCTGTCTTAAGTTTGATAGCAAGTATCCTAGGTAGTAGATTTCATGAATTTAAAGGCACATTTTGCCTCAAAAACAAATAAAGTTTTATTTCATTAGGAAGGGCAAACATTAATGTTATTTAAGAAATAATATATCCCAAACAGTGATTTTATTGCTCAATAACATCACTGTTTGGAATTCGGATGCGAGGAATTATATCACGAGGGCGTATCACGAGTGATATAATGATGCTTATCCGAACGACAAATAGTGATGTGATCAAGCAATAAAATCACCGATTTGGATATATTATTTCGTTTCTATCACAACATCAACAAATAAATGCTGCCGTACCTGATACTTAGCTAAATTGCGCCTGATTTGTTTCCATGCTTACTTTTTTGCGTCAAATTTCTAATGGTTACGTCATGTGTATAATGATTAAGTCACATGTTTAAAAGTTGAACGTCAAACTGTGATTTTATAGCATAATAACACACACTTTCGGTTCACCTATGTTCAATTGGGGAAAATGTGGGTTGTGTTAGAATATTAAATATTTAGATAATGATTTAGAGAATGCTAGTTGCTTGCTTCCTGAAGAAAGTAGCAATAAATGTGAAATAATTTGAGATAAAGGTATCAAAATGTAAAAAATGTAGTATTTCGATATACATACAAAATACTAATTCGCTATAACTGTACTTATTGCCAAAAAGCAGCAGATGAAAAAAAAATGGTTCAGGTAATTGCCCAATGATTAACTTTTTGGATAATGTCAAAGTATACGAAAAGTGAAATAAGAATAAAAGCATTTCTGAGGCATAATGGGCCTTTAACCATACTTTATATTTGAGCCCTGTCACGACAAAACCAAAATAGTGGGTTTGCGACCAGCATTGATCCAGTGTAGCCTCCGCAACCGCGCAGTCTGATAAGGATCCATACTGTTCCCTTACCAACCTTATTGCAAGTAGAGAAACTGATAGCAAACAGTATGGATCCTGATCAGACTGCGCGGATGTGCAGGCTGGTCTGGATCCATGCTGGTCGCAAACGCATTATGTTGGTTTTGTCATGGCGCGGCTTATTTTGTTTTACTATCTACAGAACATATAGACTGTCACCAGAAACTACAGAAGATTATGGACAGTATAAGATTGATAGATAATGAGGAAGATCTGATACAAAATGGAACAAGGGACATAACTCAGTTGTGTGCAGCTAATGTGATACTATGGACCCAGTTTTTAGAGACTGTTACACTTGATCAGGGCATTATTTTCCATCTAGCCAAAGAGCATCACAGTATACGGGTATACAACTGTTGTACTTTTCGATGTGTTTGTTTGTTTATAAAACTGCACATTTCATTTGTAACTTTGCTTTTGAGTGGATAATAGTGACGTTGATATAGTTTTACATACATAGCTGCTGTCAATTTATGAAGAAATTACATCTTTGCTTTTAAAACAGGAAGTTTGCTATATTTTGTTATAAAGATTTTTCACATGTTATATGACCGTATGTAAATATTTGTTTGAAATATAACCCTCTTCACTATTCAAAAAATGTTTATATAGGGCCATATAACTTGTCAAAAATCCTTATAACTAATAATATATACTTGAGCCTCTAGGCAAATGTAATTATGCAAACAATTGTTTATATACGGCCATAAAATCTGAAAAGAATGTTTATGACAAATTTTTAAAACAGGGAACTTGCTTTATTTTGGGGATAGAAAATATTTATTCATAAAAGGAGTCGTGTATATAGTTAACGAAATCATCAGGATTATCCAATGAAAAACAATGTTACAAGCGTACAGCATTATGAACATATATGTGTTAACTACAAAATATGATTGCTATTTTGAATGATATTAAGTTAGTTATATTTAATTTAGTTTGATTGTGAATCAAGTTCTTGCAACTTATTATTAATTATTTTGAGTTTTCCTTCTGGAACTTACCACTAAGGAAATGTATTAAAGTTCATTAAGAGAGGAAATTTATAATATTTAACTTATTATATGAAACAAAAACAACAAAATAACCAATTTGCTTATGACCGAATGATATTGATTGCTTTTGTTCATCACAATTTATTAGTTAAGTACACCAAGTGGAAGTCATATTTATGTAGAATGAGTAATTTTGTTTCTAGATATGTTATAATGACAGGGCATATCAGTAACGCACAAATGCCTTATTCTGATGTGTTTGTATCGCGAAAAAAATTGATTGCGAAATAAATTGTATTCTCAAAAGCTGGCAATGCGAGTGTGATTACAACTTTAGGCAATCAATGAGAGTGCTACTGTCAGGCAGAATGATGGCAACCATGTAATTAATTTCCCATTCTGTAAAATGCATGATATTAAGCGTATCTGTTAAAAAAAACAAAAGCAATTATTTTTCTGCTGAATAAGCATATGAATGTATAACATCAATATACATTTGTGATGTAATTAATAGAGCAGTATGAAACATTGATCTGGGTATATGTTTTTTGCTCAGTTGAAAATGATGATATTTTCATGACGATATTTTCATCAGAAATCATCATATATATATGATAACAGAATGTATTGTTTATATTTGTAGGTGAAGAGACTAGCTGAGGGGTTCTTTATGCATGAATATCCAAAGAATGAATGTTTATCTTGTTATGAACCTAGGTAAGAAGACTTTATTAATTGTATATAACTTGCTGTATTTCTTTAATGGAATTTCCTTGCTGTCAATTTGGAATTTAAGGGAATTCAATATTAATAATTTAAAAATAATGAGTTATAAACAGTATAGAACCTGGTCAGACTGCTTGGATCAGCTGGCTGGCCTAGTTTTATACTGGTGGCAAAGGTTTATCACTTGCGGTTCCAGCAGGACAAATTTTACTTGGTCTTGTCATTTCAAAGTGGGTCATAGACAAGGAGTGCATCCATGTAAGGAAGCTATCCAGACAGTTTACAGGAAGAGTTTGTGGTTATTATAGTGCCTGAAATAATACACAAAGGTGGCACCTGAGGTCTACCTCCACTAATAAAGCTAAAATGTCACCATGTTTGCTTTACAGTTTTAAAATGACCTAAAACAAAATTTACCAAAGTGACTCGTTCTATAATGGAAGGTCTTAATACAATATCGGTAGCATTTATATATGGAAGTTGTTGGTATGTGTGAGATACAAGATCCGATGATACATATTTTCATATTGCAAATTATAAATTGTTCTAGAACAGAATATTACTATTCATCATATTGCAATGTTCATACTGAATATGAAAGAAAGTCATGAACGGGAAATTATACATAGCAAAATCGCATGAAATAGGCAAGCCACAGCCAGGATTACAAAATATGATTTCTATTTTGTATGTTAATTTAGTCAGTTATATGTAATTTATATATAACCATGATAATGTTTCAGTTACCATGGACACAGTGATTTAGCGGCAATGGTACGTAGTTCGATGTATCTACAGATGCTACCACCACTTGATCTGGAATGTTTGGAACTGGACGGTGATCAAACATCACTACCTGTCATATTTGAAGATATCTATTTTGATCAGGCTTCGAATTCAGGTATATCCATCCACTTTATAAATGTTTTGTTTATTTTACTTTGTCCTGTATTCTAAGATTTGACTTACCTCATTTTATAACCTTGTACCAACTCATTGTTTTTAGGTTTAATAATCTTATGTTCACAATTATAACGTTTGGCGCGGTATGGCCAGTTATGTGTCAATGTGCCGTTAAACCCAAACCAACAAACTAATTGTTTTACTTTTTGCATTATTGGGTAGTTTTGGTTAAACTGCTTTTGAATCATCAGTTCAAGGTCTGTCTTTTGTTTGCCTACCTTTTTTCTGTGATATTTGTAGACAGTTTTGTTAGGCTAGCATTAGAATTTCATCTCAGGTGCCCTCTTATGCCAGAAATAATGCAAGGAGGTGCACCTAAGGTCTTCCTCTACCAGTAAAGCTGGAAAGTTGCCATAGTTATGACAATGTCAATGTGTTGTAAAGCCCAATATAAACAAATAAGAAAGTAGCTTTTCAAAATTATAAAACATGTTTTTGAGAAAGAAAAAAAAAAACAAAACAAACAACAACATGTATTACATATTCATATAAAAAGTAAGTTCTAGTACATTATAGTCCATAATTGTAGTGCATTTGACTGCTTTGGATTTGGAGCAGTCATATTAAAAAAAAAGGGATTTCAATAACAAAATACAAAACCTGAGCTACTAACAGTAAAGGGTAAAATCAGATTGCACAGATGTGCTGGAAGTCTAGCCAGGCCCCTGTCTTTATGGCACAGGTTAGGAAAGTTTAGAAGCTGGTTTGTTCATCAGAAATTTTCTAGTGATGCTGTCAATATTAATCAACATTTGTTGGTGTTTTACAGAGGTCAGAATTAGTTTAAATTTTATTTATTTGATAAATTGTACATATACAAGACATAATAAGTAAGTATTTACATTTTACAACAAAACAAGACTGGAAAGAAAAACACATTTAAATTGTTAAATCCTCTCTTGTGAAGGTAAAATTTTTAAAAATAAATTTAAAAAAACATTATATTAAGATGTAAACTGGTGCGAAAATATTAAAGTATCAATTATGATTATCAGGGTAAAAGCATCGAATAACAAGGTTTTTAATTGATATAAAGTAAGAAGAATGGCTAACTGTTAGTAACCCTTGTATCACATTTCAGATGATAACAAAAGGAGCTCAAGAGCCAGTTCTATATCCCCAAATTTCACACAGAAACATTCTCCGGAAATACGACATAAACAGAAGCGTAACTTCATTAAGAATATTCGACCCGATACTTTTAAACGTCCGTCATCCTTCAATCTCAAGGAAGCTGAAGAAGCTGCAGCTAAGTCTAGAGGTCCTAAAGACGTTACTCTTGTTGGATATCGTAAAACAGTGGCGTCGCCAAACGTTCACAGCAGGATGATTGAGGACGAGACTAATCTTGGAACGTTTAGTCCGCTAACCTCTACATCCTATACACCACAAGTGCCTGGCTCAATGTCTAATTCCGTGTCGTTACCTACACTTGAGCGAGCAGAATGGAGTCGAAACAGTGACGGAACTTTACCGGAGTATATGAAAGTTGCCAGACGATCATTACGGAAACAAAGAAAAAAGAAATCTTCATTGATAACGGTGGATTTTGTAGGAGGTTCAGATCCAGAAATGAGTATTGATGAAGAAAATTCAGAGGAATCTGAAGTTCCACGTCGGTTAAAAAGAGCATTAACTGATCCGGTAAGGCATTCAAGTGTTAGAAGTACTTCAAATGAAACTGGTGCAGACTCTAATATTGCTAGTGATGATACTGCAGATGGGAATAGTAAAACAAGTATTCATAAAGATATAGTTGAATCTCATTTAGCTAGGAAAGAAAAAGAAAATACGAATGAGCAGGATTTAGTGAAAAAACAGCTTGACTTTAAAGATGAAATGCACAGAAATTTATCCTATTGTCTAACTCAGGCTTTAGGAGAAGACGGTTTACATGACAGTGATAAAAGTGATGATGAAACGTGTATACAAAATGGTTACGATGAATTTCTTGAGGAAGAATTAAGACAAAGAGCGCGGCATTCTGGTCATTCACATTATGAAGACAGTATTAATTCAGATAATAATCATGACAGTGATACTGTTGAAAGAAAGGGAGATAATTCTGAATCTGCTGATGAAAATGTTCATAGTTCGGGTCATCAGGGTCTTACGGTTAGGGATATTCTCAAAAACAATGTTTTGCAATTGACTTCCCCGGGTGCTAGATCTGACACAGAAAATAGGGGAGATTCTCAAGTAATGTTAAATGGGGATGCGGATTCTCATTTAGACATTCTTAGTATTAGTGAAGTTAATATTACTAAAGATTCTGCAAGGTCAGAAGAGGGTTCAATAGGCGGTACAAGTCGACAGTCTGTAGCTAGGGCTGAATTGACTGGTACCGCTGACTCAGGAGTTGTTATGACTGGTTCCCAGACTACTTTAACTTCTAAAAATAGCTCAACTGTTGAAATTGTTTCAGAACACGATCATAGTTTTGAGAATGAGGCTGAAGTGACAGTTATTGAACTTCTTCGAGAAGAGTATAAGAAAACACCGATAATTACAGGTCCGGATTTAGATAAAAGTATTTCCGATTTTAGTGATTCTGGGGTTTCAGTAATGTCACACAAAAATCACAAAGCTTCGAGCGATTCAAATTTACTTCAGTCCGTAGAAACACTCGATATATCAGACGGCATGGACACTAAAAAAACACCCGATGTAATGGTTACGTCGGCGTCTTTTCCCGACATCACTAAACTATCTGAGGCGGTTAAGGATCGCCCTAAACTTGTTGATAAAGTGGGACATAGTACAGTAAAGTGAGTTTGTCTTTTTTTTTCTTCTTCTTCAGAAGTGGTATATTTTAAATAAGTAATAAATTCATTTGAATTTTTTGAATTGGTTTAAACATTTTTTATTCGCCATATACAAGAACAAATTTTACATAACATTTACAATCTATACAAAAAATGGATAAGACGGAAGCCTTTTGTATGTTAGGTTAATTTCAACACTTAGTACATAAATGAGCCGCGTCTCAACAAAACCAACATAATGGGTTTGCGAACAGGATAGATCCAGACCAGCCTGCACATCCACGCAGTCTGATCAGGATCCATGCTGTTCGCTATCAGTTTCTCTACTTGTTATAGAGTTTGTAAGCGAACAGCATGGATCCTGATCAGACTGCGCGGATGCTTAGGCTGGTCTGGATCCATGCTGGTCGCAAACCCATTATGTTGGTTTTGTCGTGACGCGGCTCAAATGTTAAACCTTCAGTGCATTTCCCCACAATATAACTATTGTTTCAAATTTCAACATTTCTGTAGAAAGAATTGTGACAATGTTAGATAATGTATTGTAGATTTATTACTTTAATTTTTGTTCATTTGCTATAGTTTCATTACAATGAGGGAAAATCTGAAGTCTCGGATGAAGTATCAGGGACATCTGTAAAAGGTTTTTGGAAATTTCTTATATCATTTTTTTTTCAAATTACTCTCCCAAAAGTAAGCTTTCCTTTTTGGGTTTATAGAAATCACAGAAAAAATAAAATTAAAAAAAACTACTGATTATCTTTTTAAAAAAATTATAAAATTATCATTTTAAATTACAGGGAATTTTTTTGGTGTTTTTTTTGTTTTTTTTTCATTTTAGTGGAAATTGACTTAACAAAAGTTTGTTTTTAGAGTGTGTGAGAAAGTATTTTTTATGCATGGGCAGATAATTCTGGCAACTGTAGTAAATAAGATTTGCATATTTTATTATTTATATTAGTCACGATTGTATTCTTGATGTAACTGATGTCATTTTCTGTGAATACACAATAATTATATTTTAAGTATGATGTAATTTGTTTAGGCTTTTGCTGCAGGCCCTCTCTGGCCTAAAGGTTAAGGTCACTGACTTCAAATCACTTGGCCCTCACCACTATTGGTTCAAATTCTGTCAGGGACTTTGATTTCTTTATTGTGAGGAAAATGTCTAGCTAAGTTACAGAAGGTCAGTGGTTCTACTTGGCTTCTGACTTTTGCCAGAATTGCCCAGAAATAATGCACAATGTGGCACCTGGAAATCTAGAAAGTTGCCAAAGGACCTTTCCACAGTCTGTGTGTATTAAAAGTCCAGATAAAAAGATTTTGCTTCTTCTGGTCAAATAAAGGTTCTTGCCAGTATATTGTATATAACAGACATATAGAAATAGTTTTCACAATGATTGTAAACCAGTTTACTTATTTATGAAGTAAATTTATAGATAGAAGCATGTTTGGACAATTCATTTCTTTACTCTTTCCCTCATTGACAGTGTTGAATGGATTTTAACTTTGAAACTAATTTTAATGCTAAAATAAAGTTGGTAACTGTGTTTTAAAAATTGGTTGAACTGCATAGACAAAGGCTTTGCAGGTTAACCTAGACTTATACTTATGAAAAGTGCATGTTTTTGTTGTTCTTTGTTTTTGTTTTTTTCATAAATAATAAATAATATGCAAGAAATATTTTATTTTGAGCATGTTTTATACTGATATTTTTTTTACAAAATGTTAATAAGTAGAGTGTATTTTGATAATAGATTCTTTAGGTAAGTGTTTGCTGCTTTTTTTTTGTTGGTAAAAATAGAATAAATAATTTGTATAATTGACAATATTATAGCTTTAAAATATCAGGAATTCCTAGCTATAAAACTAATGCCATATAGATTTTTATATAACCTGGGATATGTTAATATATGAGGTGCAGTGATTTAAAGTGTTTATCTAATCAGAAACTTACTTTTTCCGTATAAATTGTAGTAAGGAAGGTTCATGGGAAAACTTATCTTTTCATTACAGTTTAATTTTAGAATTTTATTTGTAGGTAACTAACTCCACATAGAAATAAGTATAAATCTAGTATAAAAGCATTCTACAAAGATGTGTGAATGAAATATTCAGTGATATCGTGTGAATGAAATATTCATTTATTTTCTATTCCACTCCATGTCAGCATTTGATATTCATATGCATTTGCAAAAAAAGTAGGGAAAATCAGAATTCCTAAAGAATGCCCAAAATGGGCAGTATTGAAAATGTTTCGGGTTCGGTTTGATTGAGCCTGTTTAGTGAGTATGAAATTCTGTAAAAATTTAAAGTATGGTCCTAAAGTAAAATATATATGAGCCGTGTCATGACAAAACCGACATAATGGGTTTGCGACCAGCATGAATCCAGACCAGCTTGCGCATCCGCGCAGTCTGATCAGGATCCATGCTGTTCGCTATCAGTTTCTCTACTTGTTATAGACTTTGTAAGCGAACAGCATGGATCCTGATCAGCCTGCACGGATGCGCAGGCTGGTCTGGATCCATGCTGGTCGCAAACCCATTATGTTGGTTTTGTCGTGACACGGCTCATATGTATCCCAATATGTAGTCAGTGTCAGCCTTACATACTAAGTTAGGTGTAAATTATTTTACATGAATAAGTTAGGTGTTACTTATTTTACATAGGAAATTTTTTTAATTTTTACTATGATTAAATGGTAAGTAAACGAAAATTAATGGATCAAAATGAATTTTAATTTTTGTAGCTTAATAGAAGAAGGGTAGGTAGATTCCACATTTGACTAGCACTTCGTTATATATCATATACATGTATATAATCAACAAATAGTGTGTGTGTGCGTGATACCTCTGAAAGCATGGAAAGTGAAATAGGGGTTTATAAACACATTGTTCAAAGAAATGAAATGTTAAAGTCAAAACATGAACTTGCTTACAGGATAATTAAGTTTCCTAAGAAAACAAAAATTCAAGCAAAATAAATTGATTTCAAAAGGCAAATGTAATAACTTAACTGTATAGGTAAACAGAGCAGAAATAGAGTTATTTACGTTTTTGTCTCTGTCTGAATCTAGGTCTCTAGCTCCCACATGGCGGAGGGACAAGGGATATAGTTTTGCTTTTGTCCGTCATTTTTTGGATACATGTAATAAATGTGTCTGTCTTTTGTTAGAAACAGGTTAAGAATGTGTTAAGTAATTTCTTAGTTTTTCAGGAGTTTTTGCACCTGAACTGAACACAATTTAATTCTTTAAATTGGGTCCAAATATTATTTGGAAGGGGATATCATGTTTATGTCTTGAATTTGAATAGAAAAAGAGAAGAGAAAAAAATCCATTTAAGATCATCAGGAATTTTTTTTATATAAAATAATAATCAGATTTTAAAGTTACTTAGATTTAAAGGTGAGGTGCTGATCTTTATTAGTATGTGTTTGATTTTACTATTTTCTATGGTGGTACTTGATTTTAGTGTTTGTTTTCTATCACTGAGAATATATTCTGTATGTTTGACGTGTTTTTCTTACCGAGTGATTTTTTTTCCTATACCATGTACTCATTTGTGATCTTAATTTTGTCCATTTATCTTTTTCAGTCTTATATTTTAATGTATTTTAAATGTTATTTTAATATTGTTTCGGTTTAAATCTACTCACAACTTATTTCCTTTGTCTCTATAGCATGATATATTGTAAACTGAATTTGTTCAATCTATTTTTGAGAGGTAGCCAATTTGCAAAAGATATGTCAGATTTTAACTCTTACATCATATGCACATAATTTCAGCTTTTATGATACCAACAGACAATATTTTTTCTATACATTATTTATGTGGTAAAAGGTTTGTTTGATCAAGTTGGCATTGTTTGTTATTATTACAGTGAATTCCCGACATTAGCATCACAGATTCCGTATTTTCATGTCCCAGATACTACGGAGGATGAAAATCAAGATGGCTGCCATATGATTGTTTGTGTACATGGACTTGATGGTAGGAACTCTTTCTTATTACATTGCTATTTATTTATTCATTTGCAGAATTTTAAGTCACTCACATGCTTTATGAAAATCATACAGCATTTTTCCAGCTTTACAAGCACAGCAAAGGTTGTCACTCGTTGCAATATTTTCATGTTCAAGCAGGCAGCAGCTTGCCGGATAGCTTCTTGACATGAAAAACATGAAAAAATTACAAAGTCCCTGGCAGGATTCTAGTAATTGGATGTGAGAGGCAAATGATTTAACATTAGGAAATTTAAGCATTTGCCAATGAACGTATCCCCCACCTCCCCCTCCTCCTCCTGAGTTACATAGATAAAATGTTTACATGTATAAGGAAAACCGTTTGATCCTAAAATGTTTACATTAGTAAATTATATGCAACAATGTGATAAGAAATTATGGTTCTAATACTAAGTTTTGTTATGTTTTATCTTCATGATCATTGATAAGAATACAGAAAATTGTATCCATTGATACTTTAGTCATTGATTTTTATCTATGTATTCAAATAAGAACATTTAACAAAGGAATTTTTTATGGTTAAATCATATTTTATGGAATTATGAATATATTAATATTTTTCACTGACCTCAAACGTTTGTGAATCAATAAAATATCTTAGGACTTGTTATAAAATTGTTAACAATTTTTATGAAAATGGTCTTTTACTGTCTGGAATTTCTTGTAGGAAACAGTGCCGATCTACGACTAGTAAAGACGTACATGGAGATGGCGTTGCCGGGATACAGACTGGAGTTTCTGATGTCAGAGAGGAACCAGACGGATACGTTCGCCGACTTTGAGGTTATGACACAGAGGCTGGTCAATGAAGTATTACATCATATAGAGATGTATTCATTAAAAGTGGCTAAACTAAGGTAATACAAACTGCTGTTTTCTAGTCAGTAAAATTTGGTTGAACCATACACTCATAATAAAAGGCATGTAGGTCTGTAGAGGCCAGTCATCTGTAATTGGACAAAGATTTTTGTGGGAATCTTGGCATCATTATGATCTTTTCAGTGTTGAGTGTGACTTTAAACCAAACTAAAAAGAACAAGAAATATGTTTTGATGATGCTGTCAATCAGTAAATAAATCACTGAGTTAGCTATGCCTGTTATATTTTATTGTAAGATAATGTTAAAATTGCTTTGCTGTAATGTAAATATGAAAAGATGTTGCAAATGTGTATGAATATATCAACCTTTAGGTATGAAAGAATAAACAGTATCATTGTATTATGAGGAAAATTCCTGTTTACATTGCAGTGAATTTGTTCTTAATGTAATGTCTGTAATAGCATAAATATCTTCTGGGGAAAATGCTTTTTGGAGAGAAAATCAATACAATATTTAAAAAAACAAAACTTTTTTTGTTTCAGTTTTATTGGTCATTCCCTGGGTACAATCATTATTCGGTCAGCACTGACCAATGTAGAGATGATACCACTGTTACCTAAACTTTACACCTTCCTCTCACTGTCAGGACCACATCTAGGTACTCTCTACAACAACAGTGGACTTGTTAACATGGGTTTGTACTATAAACTCTATATTTTTCATAACCCTTATTTAACTTGAACATATTGAAAGGACTTTTTTAGACTTATCCAGATTTTGAAGTTTTTGGAATGTATTTCAGTATTGAAGTAAATCATTCTGGAAACATTTGAATAATAATTATCAACTTCACAAAAAACAACAACAGAAACTCCATGATAAAGAGGAGTTTATCCCCTCAAAATGTTGGAGGTTTAAACTTTGTGAACTTGATAATTAGTATTGAAGTAATAACTTATGAGAGAACAGTACAAATGTAGTCAGACATGGTAGTCAGTCATAGACATAATCAACCATTGTAGTTGTCAAGAATTCCAGTTGTCAGCCAAAATAGTCAAACATAGTAGTCAACCATAGTACTCAGTCACCGCAGTGCTTACTAAACAAGTCTATTTACTGGTGTAAAAGACATAAATTACCTTTGCAAAAAGTAATGGTTAAGGGTAATTTAGGAATATGTCAATCATTTTTTTAAGGAAATCTGTTACTTTACTAGCATTACCTGAAATATTGTGTGTACTTGGGGGGTGGGGGGATCTTCCTATTGTATGAAAATTGTAAATATGTCAAATGACCTTGTTTTATTTTTAATCTATCTTATATACAATGTAGTTTCAATAATATAGTTTCAAACATATTCATTTGTAGAACAGTTATAGAGTAATGAAAGTGCAAGATAATTTGCCACATAAGAAGGTGTGAGAGATACCATTCTTAAATAATCTCCATTGAATACATGTACATGGTGCAATCAAATCTTTGCTGTCTTGGCATATCTCTATTTCAGAATTTAGCAGACAGTTTATGTAATTCTTATTCAGGTATGTGGTTTATGCAGAAATGGAAGAAGTCTGGCTCCCTGCTTCAGTTGTCCCTAAAAGATGGTGTAGATCCTAGACAGTCATTTCTGTTTAAACTGAGCCAGAAACCAGGTGAGATGTTGTTCTTTTGTTGTGTCTCTAACTGAATTATCCACAAAATGAAACAGTATATTATATACAGAAGTTTTATATCATGGCACGAAACATATTTGAGCCGCGTCACGACAAAAGCAACATAGTGGGTTTGCGACCAGCATGGATCCAGACCAGCCTGCGCCTCCGCGCAGTCTGATCAGGATCCATGCTGTTCGCTTACAAACCCTATAACATGTAGAGAAACTGATAGCGAACAGCATGAATCCTGATCAGACTGTGTGGATGCGCAGGCTGGTCTGGATCCATGCTGGTCGCAACACATTACGTTGGTTTTGTCATGGCGCGGCTCATTTATTGTACAACAATATGATGGAGAATAATATTCATTATGTAAGTTACTTCTGTTTGACAGTTGCATTGCAGCAGTTGACATGTGGAAAAAAATGGTTTATAATAGTACATTAGCCATGATAACTCATGATAAATTTTTCATAAGAAAAACATAATTTGGCACCAGACCATATCATATACTTAAATACATTGAATAGTGTTGAAAGTAGAACTGTCATGACAAGTTGAAGATGATGGATGAATTGGTTTAAAGTTAGATCTAGTCACCCAGTATTATAAAATGATTAAAAAAACAACTAATAATAAAGCCATTGTCTCATAAAGATTTTATAAAATGAATTATAAGAATTAGAAATTCCTGTATTGTCCTTACAGATATAAAACTACTTAAGAATCTTAAGAAGTTGTTAGCAGAAAGTCTTGTATTGTCCTTATAGATATAACACTATTTGAAAACATTAAGAAGTAACCGATTTTACATACTGGTTTCATAATGTATTTAAAATCTAAATTTTATAAACACACTGTGCAGTGGAAAACGGACATTTCATCTTTATCAGAAATCTTTTCATAATTCTAGTTTTAACTGCCTGATATTGTGTAGGTTTCAATTTATTTTATTACATTTTCAGGCTTATGACTTTAATTTAGATTGATTCAACAGTAGAATCTATGAAAACAAGTCCCTATGGATAAATATCAGCTTCAAAAATTGAATTGTCCCGGATTTATTTCGCATTATCTCAGAATTTCATTTCTGTTGAGTTACTCTGTGGGAATAATAATCTTAAAGTGTCTATACAGGAAGAAATAAACAGCACGATTTTGTTCTTATTTTCAGGTTTGGAATTTTTTTGTCATGTGTTACTCGTGGGTTCCTCTCAGGATAGATATGTTCCTTACCATTCCTCTAGAATAGAAATGTGTAAAGCTGCCCAAAGGGAGAGCACTGGACTTGGTATAAGTTTTTAGTTAATACAGAGTTATCTTAACAAAATAGTTTCCCCTTGGAAATATGACCTTGAAAAAGCATGTCCTTTGAAATTGTTATTGGTTTTTAGATTTTTTTATCATATCTTTGAATTCAACATAATTGAATATCATATTAAATCACTTGTGTATAATTTCTGTGCAATGTTATTTTATTTAGTTTTTAATGTTTAGTCAAAAATTTTGGAGAATTCGTATTTTAGTGCAATATTATGATATTAAGTTACTGTAAAATATTAGCAAAGTTGTTTGGTTTTTGAATCTTGAAAAACAGAAAAAGCTCTTGAGGAAGCTTTTAACATAAGGGAATCACAAAATTATGCCTATCTAGTGATTCATATCTGTGATAGTTTTTAGAAGAAAAAAAAACAACGAAAAACAAAAAAAAAAAACCCTAAAATATCAACTCAATTCTATGGTATTTCATTTTCAGGATCTGTGTATGCTGAAATGGTGGCAAATATTTTACAGCCGATAGTGAATAATCCAAAGTGTAAACTAATTCGTTATGACATATTTCACGCTCTACCTAGCACGGCAAACACGATTATTGGAAGAGCGGCCCATATAGCTGTTCTAGACTCGGAAATCTTCATCGAGAAATTCCTCATGGTGTGTGGACTGAAATATTTCAAATAGAATCAAAGTATCTAATAGTTAAGGTATTTTCGCATTGGTGTTAAGGACATAAAAACAACAACAAAAAAAAAACAACATTTAATCAATTGACTTTACAGGATAATCAGTAGAAATTGTTGACACATGTGCAAACTTAGTTTTATTGTTGAAAATACATTTTCAGATGTATTCATCCCACTGTGTCATAAAGGCATTTAGTTATCTTCAAATGGTCCTTAGGGAGATATTTGATAGATATACATGTTGATATATAAGTCATATTGTGTGGCCAATGAAGTCAGTCAGTCAATTCCTAGATTATTGACATTTTTGTGCCCCCACGTTAGTGGCGGGCATTTAGATTTACCCTTGTCCGTCCGTCCTTCCGTCCGTCCGTCCGTCCGTCCTTCCGTCCTTCCGTCCGTCCGTCCGTTCACTTTTGTGTCGCACGTAACTCAAAAAGTATTTGACCTAGAGTCATGAAACTTTACAGGAATGTAGATCAGCATGTGTAGTTGTGCCCCTGGGTATTTTGGTCGGGATATTTTTAGTATTTTCAGAGTTATTGCCCTTGACTTAGTAAAATTTTGCAATTTTCAACTTGTGTCGCATGTAACTCCAAAAGTATTTGACCTACAGTCATGAAACTTTACAGGAATGTTGATCAGCATGTGTAGTTGTGCACCTGGGTATTTTCGTCTGGATATTGTTAGTATTTTCAGAGTTATTGCCCTTGACTTAGTAAAATTTTGCAATTTTCAACTTGTGTCGCATGTAACTCAAAAAGTATTTGACCTAGAGTCATGAAACTTTACAGGAATGTTGATCAGCATGTGTAGTTGTGCACCTGGGTATTTTCGTGTGCATATTTTTAGTATTTTTAGAGTTATTGCCCTTGACTTAGTAAAATTTGGCAATTTTTAACTTGTGTCGCACATAACTCAAAAAGTATTTGACCTAGAGTCATGAAACTTTACAGGAATGTTGATCAGCATGTGTAGTTGTGCACCTGGGTATTTTCATCTGGATATTGTTAGTATTTTCAGAGTTATTGCCCTTGACTTAGTAAAATTTGGCAATTTTCAACATGTGTCGCACATAACTCAAAAAGTATTTGACCTAGAGTCATGTAACTTTACAGGAATATTGATCAGCATGTGCAGTTGTGCACCAGGCATTTTCATCTGGATTTATTTAGTATTTTTAGAGTTATTGCCCTTCACGTAGAAAATTTTTGCAATTTTCAACTTGTGTCGCAAGTTTCTCAAAAAGGATTTGACATACTAAGTCAATAAACCTGATGGGCAGGTTGCACAGCATATTTTAGATCTGCACCTGGGGTTTGGCTTGTGGATTTATCCAGTATTTGTAGAGTTATTTCCCTTGACTTAGTAAAAAGATTGACAGAACAGTGTCGCGGTGGGGGCACCCGTGTCCTATGGACACATTTCTAGTTTATATATATTTAGACGGCTACAAATTGTTATGTCTGATTTACATGACCCCTCCTTAATCAGATATATTCAAAAATTTAAAAAATCAGTACTCATTTTAGTTGGAATAGTAACTTAGATTGTAAGAGTTGTATGCTGATTTAACAGTAGGAAGGGAAATTAACAAAAGTACTGGAACTGTGTTCAGTTGAAAACAAAAGTAACCCTTGTCAGCTTATTTTATTCTGTGTTTTATCAAAGGAATTAGAAAATGACAATCATCTTTGATAAAATGTCTTTAAAAGAATAAATAAAAACTTCTTTAAAATGTTGTACATGTCTATGGATGTTAACACTGACCTTTTTCAAAAGTCTTTCATTCATAAATTACTTCCATGTCTTTAAAAAATATGTCTAACTTATGTCTATGTCAATATATATTGTACTATGACAAAGATTTTATCATTTTTAGGTCAGCAATGACTGTATCTATATTTGACCTTGTCAATGTGAAAGTATGACCTATTTATGTCACTTTTGTTCATAGGCCACAACCTTGACCTTCTTCTGATCAGGCAATGCAATGACCACATGACCATATTTTGAAAAGGTCATGACCTTGACATTTTTACAAAAAAGTGATGTCATGTAAAGATGACCTTGAGAGATCAAAGGTCATGACCTTGGTATAATTTCATAATTGTTTAAGGTGGAAATTAGTGATATAGTTTGTATTTTAATATATATATCATAAAAGATCATCTTTACATTAAACATGTATCGTTTATATTTAATTTCTATTAATTGCTGCAATATTTAAATATATAAATCCTGCTGTATATAGGAACTTTGTAAACTGAAGTGTGGTTTTTAGGTTTTTGTTTTTTTTAGGTGTAAATTTAATGTATTGATTAATTTATTGGTTTTGTCATAAATGTATGTACATGTTTATACACCAGCTAATGTTAGAATAAATATGAGTGTTAGATGAAATTGTTTTAGCTGTGTCCATATTTGTGGATTGTGAAAGTTTAAAACTTACAGATATTTACACTCAATCGTGAACAATTTCTTCTCTGTTTTTTCCCTGCTTGCTCAGTTTTCATTATTTGTACTCATTTTTTTTACCAGATGATTCCTAACAAATAATATCTGATAAAATTGATTAAGTTTAAAAACGTTATTTGGATTTTGGAGCTATTTTTAGTGTTCACATTTGAGCAATTTCATTTCTGTTAAAGATAGTGAGAATGTAAAACTTGATAACAATTATAATTATTATCAGAATGGTATGTAAATCTTGCATGTTGAAAAATTTTAATAAGTTGTTTCTTAACTCATTTAGATATTTTTTAGAAGTTTAGGGGGTGGGGTAAGGGTGAGGAGTGGAGATTTAAGGTTGACTTGTAGCAAGTTATCTTAACAGTATCAATAAAAGCACAAAAATTTAATGTTTGTACCTTTGAAACATTGTCAATGAGTCATCTGTAGAAGAATTCCTACACAAAAACATTTGCAGAAAATTCATTCCTTTTTCACCACAAAAACATAAAGCACTGTTTCTTTTCTTCCATTTTATATAAACTTGTTTATTCTTCCATTTCATATAAACTTGTTATTGAGTAATTTGTGAGCTCAGGAGGGCATTTTTGTTTCTATGTTTGTTTACACTTCTTGGCAGGGCCTTTCATGTTTGTTTTCCAAAACACATCATTTATTTATTTGTTTATTTATTCTTTTTTACTTTTCTCAGTTTGATAAATTTCTTTCTTATTTAATAGTGTGACTTGTATCATTTTAACTTTCATCATTCCAGCATTAGTGTTTATGTTTTCTTGTGTACACTACATGTCAGTCTGTACATTTCATGTCAGTCTGTACACTACAAGTCTGTCTGTACACTACAGGTCAGTCTGTACACAACAGGTCATTCTGTACACTACTGGTCAGTCTGTACACTACAGGTCAGTCTGTACACTACAGGGCAGTCTGTACAACACAGGACAGTCTGTACACTTCATGTCAGTCTGTACACGACATGTCATTCTGTACACTACAGGTCTGTCTGTACACTACAGGTCTGTCTATACACTACATGTCAGTCTGTACACTACATGTCAGTCTGTACACTACATGTCAGTCTGTACGCTACAGGGCAGTCTGTACACTACAGAGTAGTCTGTACACTAAAGGTCTGTCTGTACACTACAGGCAGTCTGTACACTACAGGTCAGTCTGTACATACAGGGCAGTCTGTTCACTACAGGGCTGTCTGTACACTACAGGGCAGTCTGTACATTACAGGTCAGTCTGTACACTACAGGGCAGTCTGTACACTACAGGACAGTCTGTACACTACAAGTCTGTCTGTACAATACAGGTCAGTCTGTACACTACAGGGCAGTCTGTACACTACAGGGCAGTCTGTACACTACAAGGCAGTCTGTACACTACAGGAGAGTCTGTACACTGCAGGTCTGTCTGTACACTACAAGTCTCTCTGTATGCTACAGGTCAGTGTCGGTCAATGTTTTTACTTAAGTTGTCAATTTTGTATTTGAATTGTGATTTGATTACTTTAAGCAGAGTTACAGCCCTTTCTAAATGAAACAATAATACATTTAAAGACAGACTTTTGAGGTATTTATTTATTTTGGATTATAATACATTAACAAGGATATTTCTTACATATAGCAACATACAATAAACCATGCTATGATATACTTTACTTTTTCTCATTACTCCAGAGTACATTATTTACTGATTCCTGTACACATGATTGGCCAAAGGGTGATACCTATTGTTGATAAGAAATGATGGCAGTTTTGATGCCAGATTAACATCTTGCATCCATTTTATCCCCTTTGTTTTTCAATTTGAATATATAGGGTGACAATATTATAACACTTGTTTAATTTAAGATATTTAGCAGTCTCTGCAGTCTAATCATGGGGTACACTAACTTTTCTTTTATCAGACATTCTCCTTAAACTGGATAAATGGTCTTGACCAGATTGAAAGATGGACGAGTCCATTTAGGATATTTAGTGTGGTCAGGAAAAAAACATTCGTAAATTTGATCTGGTTATCTCGACCAAACTTAATAAAGCTTTATGTCAATTACAGTACAAAATCTCATATGTATTATATCTTAATTAAAGAATTGTTTCCCCTGTTATCATTTATATACAATATATATATTAATGCATAAATGGGTTGTTTATTAATTTATCTATGTTTTATTTATTCTGCATGTTCTTTTGTTTGTTTTTATAGACATTTGTATTCAGCCTTGTTTACTTATTATTTTGATAACATGTTTTTGTTTTGTATTTTACCTATAACTTAAATAAAGGTGATAAAATTAACACTTAATTTATAGGGTATATAAAGGTGTATTTTTTTGAAATTGTTTTGATTATTTCTGAAAATATTGTTCGTTTTCTCTATAACAACTTTTGGTATTAATATCAACATACAAATTAATGATAGGCTTGGTGGTATTTTATATTAAAGGGACTCTACTGATCTTTTTTTACATGACAGGACTGGAAATATTTTTTTGAGATTAATGTTCCATTTGATGTAGGTCTAGACCAATAACTTATGTGCAAAATTCAGACCAATCACTTGCTTCGTTTTCCAGAATAATTATTCCAAATGTGGAAAATGACCTGGAATTCAAAAACTGTGCATGGTAGCCACATACAATCTGTTTTGTAGTTGGGAGGGGTTTTTAAGCTGAGAATAACTTTGTTACAATGATTTACACTAGAGATTATAGAATACAGTAACAATAACCAGAAAGAGATCTGTATATCCATATTTTATCATTCCATATTGCTCCTGCCTAGTAAAGTCTTTCTCTTCTGATATGAAATAAAACCCTTGT